TGACTGAAGCATGTCGCTCTCCCCAGCCAGCCTCGTAGAGCCCACAGGTCTGGAAGGAGGCGCTGGGCGGGTGGCAAGCCTGACGTGACAGCTCTCCACTCCTGTTAGCCCAAGGCATGTCCTGGTATTCCACGTATCTCCACGGACATCAGTCCAATCACATCTTACTGCTGCTTTGGGGGCTATCTTTTCCTTCAGGGCAAAGAGAAAAGCTGGGGTTTTTTTTTGCCTCATTGCAATTTTTTGCTAGTAGTAAAACAGTGACTGCACCACCCCATTGCTCCCCCCACCTGACCTGTGCAGCCAGCATCTTCTGGGCTTGCCAGGTGTTTGGATCCCATTGGTGCACAAGTAACTCTCTGCTTTGCAGTCGTGTGTGTAACAGGGTTTTGTGTGGCCGAGATTCTGGTCTTAATTGCAGTGCTGTGAACCCAAACTAGCGCTGCAATGCTCCTCAAGCTCAGAAGATCTCCTGGAAGGACATTTCTGTCCAAGATTCAGCTCAGTTACGTTGCCCGGGCAGCACGTGTTCCATATTCCCCAGGAGGCGGAAGCAGGTCCTCAGATCCTCTGGGGAAAGATGTGGTAGTCGAGTTGGATAAATAAAGACCATCACTCCCACAAACTGAGCCTTGGTTTTCCTGGTCAACCCGTTGATGCCCCATTATCAGCTCCAATGGCTCAAGTCAGTTTGTTTCAAGCGTTGCTTTAAATTTGTTGCCGATGTTTGTTTTGGGGTGGGGTGGCGCAGATTCTGTACACCTCTAAGAAAACTAATTGTCAGGTGTTGCTTCCTAGCCCACATGGTCTGCAGGCCTTGGCTTTGAAGCTGCCGCTGCCTCTTCAGTCTGGCTGTGCTTTTCTTGCTGCAGTCAGGGCTGATTATGGCAAATCCCAGATCTTGAATCAGGGCAAATTTTAATACTGCACAGGCCTTATTTATGTAACAGCTGCCATCCCGCAGGGATGAATCCAGGACTTGCAGCACTAAAAGCATTAGCTGCTGCCACTGGAGCTAAAGATGTAACTCCTTTGGTTGGTAGCACCAGTACATTTATATCCTTTAGAACAAACACTGGAGGAGACTCGTGACACACTTAAAAGTGGGTTATGCCTACATAAGCGTTTTCCTCCCACCATCATACTAAGGGAGCACGTACACTTGCAGGACCACAGGTGTGAAAACGCAGTTGATGCTGCCACCGGCCCATCGCTAGTCTGAGTGGAGTGTACACATCATTATTTACCAGCACAGTTTTCTGCTAGCACTCACGCACGCCCTTTAACTCTCAGATCTGCTCCAGCACTGGGGAAATAGAGGACAGAACAAGTGTAGGCAGGGCCCTGGCTCCCTTGGCTTAAACAACACTCTGCTCATCTTTCCCAATACATTTTGCATCACTTTGGCATAATGGAGGTTCACGTTCTTCTTTCCCTCTAGGCACATGATGCAGAGCCTCTGGGCTTCAACTTGTCATCAGCTCAAAAACAGCCGGCCACTTCTGAAAAGCAGCTCTGGTTTCCTCCACTGCCCAGGGGCCAAAGACATGCTCACGCTCAGAACGATTTCAGGTCAACACCCTAAAATACAATACAAGTGATTCACCTTGAAGCTTTAACACAGTTTAATTCTCGCCATCATTCATACTTTGTCCTTTCTGTTTATGCTGTTTAATTATATAGCTCAGTAACTGCACAGCTATTTACCCCTACACTCCAGCGTGTTTGATGCAAACAAAGGTCTGTTTAATGGCTGGCTTCTGTCTTAAAATCCACCCTTTGCTGGGACAGAGCATTTATAAAGCATGAAGTGCACCTTGCAGCTTCTTCCCCAATAAAATCTCAGCCAAACCAATCTGAAATTGCGTAATTGTGAGTTCTGGGGAACAGACTGCGGGAAAATGCAGCAGCCACGTGTGCTCTCAGCTTCTTTGTCATGGGAAGGGCTCTGCCTCTGTGCGTCTGTTAATTCTTCTGTCCCAAAATATTAGGGCACCTGCAATGGAGCCGATTCTCATTTTTGTCAGAAATGGAGTCGGAGCTCCGCAGGACATGTTACCATGTGTCAGGGAGCTCTGAAGGGATCCTCTGGTGCCTTAAGGGTGTCCTTGAATCGTTGCTTTGCATGGTGATGCCTTTTACTTGTACTGCTGGCCTGTGGACTTGGAAGGAATATTCAGGGTCCAGTTTTACTTCCAGATTCCCATCTCTATGCTTTACCTGAGTTTATTTCAGCTTTTCTATCAAATTGACTCTCACAAACATTCCTGACAGGAGAGCAAGGACTGTGGTGCAAACAGGCACTTGTTATATAAACCACTTAAATGAGACATCGGCCAAATTTGGCTAGTGGAAAGAAGATGTCAGATGAGGACAGGATATTTAAACACAGCAGGGGAGAAGCTACAGCTCAGGGTTTGTTAAGGATATTCACAGCCCTTTGTGAAGGGAAATGCATCTGTGTCCATCTCCTCCTTCACCCACTTCCCGGAGGCGGGGGCTGGATACCCTGTGTCACACTTTACTGGGGGAGCAGGGCCATTGCTGCCCCTCGGCCACCGCCACACAGGGATGCGCAGCTGTAGTTTTCCTCCCCCCTGCTCCATCCCTTTCAGTGGGCAAAGCTTGACCTGGGAAAGCCCTGGGACAAGTTCACAGTCCCTTTAGCTGGTCTGAATCCGTTCAGAAGGGCACAGCAGGGGCTTTCCTTGCCTCCCCCATGTCCTGTTCCAAGCCTGGCTTGCTGTAACAGCATCACAGGCCTGCGGCCGTGGCCGAGGCGTGACACAGCTGCTGCACGCACAAGCCAACACTCCAGCCCCAGCTGTGGTAAAGGTTAAGCCCCAGATAAGGACACAGCCGCACTTTCCCCTGCAGAAAGGCTGTAAATAACCGGCACTAAGTGACAGGCTGGCACAAACCACCAACCGGCAGAGCAGGCGGGTGCAACCGCAGCTGAAGCCGGAGACGCCGCTTCTCCTGCTCCGGCCGCCGCCGCTCCGCCTCTGCAAACCAGGCAGCGCCCTGCCGCAGCTCCCGCTGCCGGGAGCCGCGCCGCGGCAGTGCCTGCGACGGGACGGGGCAGGGACCGAGATCACCCTCGTCCTCCCCACAGCTCGGCTGTGGTCCCTCGGCTTTGTGCGCTGCTGCCCGAGCAGAGAGCGGGGTCCTTCTTCCCGCCCCACGTTCGCTCGGGGCAGGCGGCTCGCCCCGTCCTCCCCGCACTGCACGGGGTGCGCGGTACTGCGCAGCGCTGCATTGCACCGCGTTGCACCGCATTAGCATTGGCATTGCAGCGCGCTGCATCGC